AGATCCAATAGGGACAAGCAATTATCCTTCAGTATCTAATGTTTAGTAAACGTGTATGAAACGTATAAAAATCAACACGTGCTACACAAAATAAATATTTTATAAATAGAACGAATGAGTGTAAGTCGCCAGTAGTTTAACAGTAGAAAGGATTATCCAACGACGTTAGCCTGCTAGCCTAACGTCGTTGGATAATCCTTTCTACTTTTATAAATAGGTTGAAATTTTAATTTTAATAGTTTTTCGATAATGTTAAAGAAGGAAGCACAAAAAATTTGCTTCTATGTGAAATCTAGGAAAAGAAGAAGTCTGAAGTGTAAAATACACCCACATGTGCATATTGAAAGATTAACTGTAGTAGAAACGTAAAAAATACGTTTCTTAAATCATGGTTTCAAAAACGTTTCCGTTCGAACGTTTCTCAATGGTTCTTTACGGTTATGAAACTATATATACGTTTAAAAAACGTATATGAAACCAATATGTGCTACCTGGGAAGTTAACCGCCGCGCCGGCGCGGCGTGGCCGCTCTCAGGTTTCTTTCTGGTTGCACCAGAGTACTGTGATAATACTGCGCTTTTGAAACAGAGCCGCTTCTGAGACACTCGCGCCACTATCGAGAAGTGAACTGACCGTCGCGTCGCTGGAGTGCGCGCGGCAAGGGACAAAAGTAGGCGTTTGTTTAAAAAATCCGGCCGGAAGTGCAAATAATTCCGAGCACTGGCGTACAGTAAAGAAAACTGTTTTGCAACTGTTGTAACATAATTTATGAGTCTGATCGGTGTATGTTTTTAATTTTGGCCAAAATGAAGATATGTACCAATCAGATTCACGAATTTTACATTAAAAAACAAAGCCGCTTTCTCTGCTAAATACAGCTAACGTAAAAGATTTTGTTAAACGCCGTTTGTTACACAAAACTTATTTATTTGTTTGGTAATATTCTATTACATCAGATGCAAGCATTTTCTATTTCTTTTAACATTAAGGATATTTTCATACATTACAAATTTATTTTAAAAGTTTTATATGTTACAGATGTATGTCAATAAAAGTCACCACTCAAAAGCTGTTGGTAGATTGGGTCAAACTGAAAAGAAAAAAGTATATCATTTTTCTTTTCAATTTGACCCAATCTGCCTACAACTATTGGGTAATGATCATGTATAAAACGATAAAGTTTACTTATTATTAAGAGAAAACTTTGTTTTATCATTCGTTATTACCTATAAATACTATCGGTGACACTCAATCGGCCGTGATATCTGCCAGATACTTGTCTGACAAATCTTGTTGGAAATACACCGGACAGTTTGCTGAGATGATAGATTGGGAACAGTGCTTGGTATAGATCGCTGTTTACCGACTTGTTATTTACCCCATCGGAATTCACGTCGTATTCGTCTACGTTTGTGGGTTTGTCTACACACATTTAGATTATACTGTATTATTCCACGTTATTGATTCAAATCGGACCTAAGTAGAACATATGGTATTGAAAGAAAATCAATACATTGATTTTTTTGTACAGCACAATTATTAAAATTCTACAAATTGTAATGTTTTATTTTGAATAATAATTGATAACAATATTTATTATTTTTAACAACAATATTATTTTATTCTTTATAAAGATAAATAATAATCGGGAGAAAAACTTTGATGTATATACCTTCGTAAAATAATTGTGTTTTAAATAGCTTGTACTTATCTCAACGCCTGAATTCCTCTTTATTACTTCTTTTGTATGAAAACAACGTTATTATAACTTTTGAAATAATTACAATTATGGAAGGAACAAAACATAAACATTTATATATTTAAAAATTAAGATCACTTAGAGGTAGTAAAATGAAGCGTGAATTATCTTACTGCTCATTCTATTTGTCATTTGTTGTTTATCGAAATTACCCCATCGCCTATGTGTTTTCCTAGACATGAGGATATTTTCGTCGATAATATTTGTAGGTGCTCTTGCAAAATAATTCACCAATTGCATTCAATGAATTCCTACGATCACATATAATAACTAAATTTACAATTTTTCAATTAATTTTTATCACAATATTTAAAAAAAACAAACTGTACTAACATTACATAATACAATAGAATAAAAGTAAATTGCAGAGAGATATTAATATCACTTTTCCATACTCATAAAAAAAAGAGAAAAGTTACGAGAAAGTGTTTAATGATGACGTTTTCTTTAATGACGCAATTTTTTGCGTGACGTGACTTTATGAGAATTATCGCCTATGCCCTATCGCATTGTCGAAATATATCGTTACATTTACTGGTGTATTCACCGTATTCATGTTTTGCGTAGAGGTACAAATTGCAGAGTGGAATGCGGTTGATCACAAGTAAGAGCGTGTGTTGTGTTTTTACACTCGTATTCGCTCATTTATACTTGTCAGATCGTCGACAGTAATTGATTGTAATTGTTGTTGACGATCAACTACGGCCGATGCTTATCCTTCGAAAAAAAAACTCTCTTATCTATGTATTTTCAGCACGCACGTGCATATAACAGAATTCCAGAGTTTCTACGTTTGCACGTGCATTCTCGGCAAAAATGGGAATCTGTAGGCTCTGATCTTACGATTAGATAAATCGTTAGTATCATGAAATAAAAGATTTTCATTAATGATAAGCAAGAGCTTGTTTCGAGTCGATAAATTAGGGCTGTTTTATCTCGTGTACGATATAATCAATAGGATAATGTGATTTTCCAGGACAGTCATGTTTTTGTCCTACATGCAACGTGTTATTAGGCTAATGTCAAAGAATAGTAAAAGGAAGCATTATTATTGTCGGTTAAATGTGCGTAAACAATATTGTACAATGTATGCGAAGAAATATTCAAAGCACTTTTTTTAAACAAATGTAAATTAAGAAAATTCTCTCTCTCTCTCTCTCTCCCTCTCCCTCTCTCCCTCCCCCCCCTCTCTCTCTCTCTCCTATACAAGGTGTCCGTTTTGTGGTTAACAGAGTGATCTTAATGCTTTATCGTACGCCTAGCAAGTGTAAACTAGACTGTTTCTTCTCATTGAATCGCACGAATGTACGCTGATTGGTGGATCTTTCTTAATTAATTTCTTATTATTTATTGCAAAGATCGAAAAACGATAAAGAACTTTCTGTTTAGTTTAATTCCTTTTATCTACTCACAGTGAGTGTTACATCTAATATCAGATATTCTGTATACAGGGTGAAGTCGTAAAAGCTGTCCCAACCTTTTATCATAAGAGGTGAATTACTGACTGCAACTGTAACCAACTCGGGAAAAAAATGGATAAAATCTCGTTCTACCCCATACAGCACACAAATGTTGAATCAACGTCTCAGAAACGTTCCATTACAACATTGCAATATTACATCAATGTTACGAAATGTAAATTTAACGTTGAAAAGATATTGCAAAAACGTCTAATGGCCGCTGAATTGTAATGTCTTGTAAACGTTACAATTAAACATTCAGAAAACATTGTTAAATTATATTAAGTTAACATTGGTCGCGTTTAGCAGAATATTTTTTACAACTGTTGGAAGTGCTGAAATTTAATTATTCCTCTAATCCAATCTTAGCTCAGAAAATTTCTGACCGTTGCAAAAATATTGTACATATATAATATATACATTTCATAATTATAAATTTTTTTAGTATCTATTTGATTGTCAAAAAATAATAATTTGTTCAAGATTGTTTTAACGTTGCAACAATATAAAGACTTAATGTACAAACATTAACTTAGATTCAACGTAGAAGAGATATTTATACTACAACATTCAACATTGCAACGTTTCAGCAACATTATTTTAACTTTCTGTGCTGTATGGGGTAACTGTTATGTATGTAGGTACAAGTGTTATATTACACTTATATGTTGAGTGAAAAGTTATAATATTGATTGTGTAACTCTTAGTTGGCGTTTACTGATTATGATATTTTCTACTACAAACTGATATATTAATAAGATTAATGTGCAACATTATGAAATTATAGACACTTAAATGTACTATTTTGCGGGAAAATTAAAAATGTACTTTTGAAAAAATGAAGAATTTTTGCGTTGAAATTCTTTATTGAAATATTAAGTTTTCGATGAAAGATAAAAAATAATTTTATCTATTTAGTATTTTACGTATAAAATACTTACTTACTTTTCAATAGGTTAGAGAACGTTCGGACAACAACTGAAAGAAGTTGCCTTGCCGTTGTCGCCACCAGGAGAGCTACTCGTGGAAAAAAACCTTTGTGTAAACATTGTAACTTCGATTATTTCCGTATTCTCTGCACAAGCTGATCAAGCGATGTGATAAATGTTCATAACTACATGGGGTGCGAGATATCAAGAACTGCGTTATTCTTTGTTCCGTATCAACACAATAAGCAAATAAATAATGAAAAATATTGTACAAATATTAAAATTAATCTACGACTGAATCTGAGTGTATAGTGCGATTTATTATCAGTAAATATTTGATCATATATACATACATAACACGGATGTTCCAAATTTTTATTTAAAGTTAATAAAATTTGACAGATGCACACACGCACATGCAATTATATATCGTTTTTGAAAATAATTATGTGACTCTTTATATTATTCACTTCATCCCATTATTTTGTATATAAAAGTATTAAGGGAGAATAAGAGATTTGTGTAGCTTGATTGAAAACGAAACTTGTGAAATTATTTCAGAGTAATAAAGTTTTCCTTTAAATTTCATTTATTATTCTGTTTGTGGAATGTATTTCCATAAATAACTAAACAAAAAAATTGACCTAAAATAGAAATTTGAAGAAATTTTTATAACTTCGTAGAAACATTAATTTTATTGTAAAAATAGCTACGAAATAGTACCACAAATTGCAATGTTCTCAAGACAAGAAATTATTGCAAGTAGTGTTTCATAAAAATGTACAATTTTGTAAAAATTAGTACAAAATTTCACTAGTTTTAAAAATTTGAGAAACAACAAAATCGTAAAGAATTAAAACATCGGCTTACTTGTAGAATATTACAAAAATTAACAAGTGTTCCAATTCTAGCATTTTTATGTTGATTTTTCTACCACTTTTGAAATTTATGTAGAATTTCTTAGATTCTAGCAGTTATATTTTATAGTTTTGTAGAACTTTGTAGAATTATTTCCGGCAGGGTCCATGAAAAAAATATATACTTGTATAATGTAATAAAGAGAGTAGTATCCCATACAACACGCATGTCTACAAGACATCTTTAAGTCGTCTTTTAGATTTGTATGTCTAAAAGACGACTTAAAGATGTCTTAAAGATATCTTTTAGACATGCGTGCTGTATGGGATAATAGGGCTCCAGGCGAAAGTCTACTATAAAAAACCTAACGCGCCATGTAAGTGGAATCTCAAGGGTGGTGTGAAAATTTGCGATTTGAAGTTGGAAATTCTCGGAAATCCAATTCTTGGAATTTTAGATAGTGCCACCTCTTTGCTGATCATGTTCTCCTGATACTTTGCCATTTTCTTGTTTCTCGATTTTCGCGATTTGAATTTGGAAATTCTCGGAAATCCAGTTCTTGGAATTTTAGATAGTGCCTCTTTGCTGATCATGTTCTCCTGATACTTTGCCATTTTCTCGATTCTCGATTTTCGCGATTTGAATTTGGAAATTCTCGGAAATTCAATTCTTGGAATTTTTGATAGTGCCACCTCTTTGCTGATCATG